TCAAATTTAGTAATATGTTCAGTAATTTTTTGTTTTGAAACAAATATTGCGTTTTAAATATTAATGTGTCAGCTATGCCTCAGTCTTTTCAAGCAGTTTATCAAGACATATGTTCTTATCCTTTCGGTAAGGAAGGGCATCAAGGAAAAGAGCTGCGACAAGTTTCCATATCATTTTTATCTGAGCATCCTAATATTTCTAAGAAGTCCCTCATTTGTTTAAAATGAAGAAAGAAGAGTTATTCAAAGACTGTAAATTTATCAAATAATTTGATGGATGGAGGGATCTCTAGACCACCGGATAATGAAGGAGTTCAGTCAGCTAAAAAAAATCTGTTTATCAAGAAAAGATTAATTGGAGCAATGAATAGATGGACTAAAAGAAAAACTTATCTCTCTGTCAGAGAACGATCCATTCAGAGTCTTCATTCTAACAATTTTACCTGACTGTTGGACATTACGAGATATTATGGAGGAGTTAAATGTTTCTTTGAGAATGGCTAAGAAGGCACGAGATTGAAATGCCAAAAAAAATGCTTTTATTAGATGTGAAGATTTTATATAAGAATTTTACCGAAGAACATCCTCAATTTCCAATCAGTTTCAGTAAGTTTGCAGAGTTAAGGCCTTGATGGTATGTTTTGCTGGAGCAAGAGGTACACACAGTGTACGTGTGTGTGTAATACACCAAAATTTTAAGGCTATGTTTGATGCGTGCAATTCGATTGAACTAACAAAAGAATCGCACTATCCGCTGCAAAATTATGCTGACTGCATTAAGTTTTTCCTTTATAGGAATCCCAAGCCAGATTGTTACTTAGGGATATATCAAAAATGCCCAAGACTAAGATTCCCAGGAGTTCGTAACATCTGTGCTACCCAATAATAATGTAAAGAATATTATTTACAGCGTTTAGCAGTCAACTAATAAGTGCACATTCAAAAAAGAATGCCTAAATGTATATGACTTTGTACCGGAACTATCTCAGAGCCTTGAAAATTTTAAACCGCACCATTTCCTTTTTAAGAATCAATCACAATTTATAAAAGACCTGAAAAAAATCTTAAAACCAAATAAGGATCTCTTGGAGATAGATTATTCGGAAAATTACGCATACGTGTCACAGAACGCTGCTCAGAAATTTCACTACAACAATAAACAGTGTAGTATACATGTTTCTGTCCTCTATTAAGCGGAAGTCCAAGAGTTGAAACACAACAGTTTTGTACTGCTCTCTGACTGCACAACTCATGATACAATGACTGTGTATTTATCGCAATTGTATTTGGTTCCAGCTATTCGAAAAAATGCTCAAAAATATTGAAACTTTTCCATGTGTCAGACGGAGCTATGCAGCATTTCAAAAAATGGTACCATATGGTTAACTTAGTACACCATCTGGAAGATTTTTTGTTGAAGGCAGAATGGCATTTTAATACTACTACGGCACACGGCAAGGAAGCTTGTGACGGAATAGGGGCAACATTGAAGAGTCAAGCAACGCGTGCTAGCTAACAAGATAAAGGAAATAAAGCTATTCTGATCAACTTTTCAAAAGATTTTGTTCACCACCTGCAGTACCACAAATTCTAAAGATCATGCTTTCGAGGTCTCATCCAAGAATACCCTAACTGAATTTAGGTACTCGAGTGCAACTAAAGTACTATCAACAACCAAAAAATTGCTAAGAAAACAAAACAGCCGTCACTTAATTGTCGAAAACCTTCCGGTTATTATATTTTTCCTTTTATTTTTTTTTTTAATCATAAGCTTTTGTTATATTATCACCATTTCTTCTCATCTTTTTTTTTGTTCTTCAAGTATATATGTATCAGTACATTGGATTTTTCTTTATACGATATGGATAATACAACGGTCGAACATGGTTTGAAATCAAGTAAAATGCCTTAATCAAAAAGTATTTAAAGGTTAGTAACAAACAGCGATATTACCTATAAAATATACTTATGTGTTATGATTCAGCAGTGAAAATAAAATAATTTGCGATCTGTGCTAAATTGTTTTACACTTTAAACATTAAAAAACAAAGCATAGTTGCTTTATTTCGAAGTTTTTTGAGGTTAGAAAAAAGCATTAATTATCGCAATGAAAAGTGATAATATTTTCTATTATTCTATGAAAAATTTATGACGGTTGTTTTTTTAAAGAATTTTTTGATGCATAATACGATCGAAAACTACGGAAAACTCATTTATCTGTAGGTTTTTGAGGTTAGAAAGATTCAGCGATATGTTAGACTCAAAAAAACAGTATTAATTTATAATTTGGTATGAATAATATACTTGATTATTTAAAGTTTTTTGAGGTTAGAAAGGATTACTGATGTATTTGATTAAAAGTAAGCATAGATTTGTAATCAGCGATGGATAATACGTAAACATATGCTTTAATTTAAATTTTAGAAGGTCCAAAATTATTTTAAATAAGATAAAACGGCTACCTCAGAGTGATTTTGACTAATTTCAGCCACCATATTGGTCGACCATTTTACATTTTAGAAAAAAGCCAGATGGCATAAAAAGCCTAAAAACTAAGCTACAGTTTGCGCCCATAAAACATTGTTTACGACTAACAGTTTTGAGAATTTTTGGCAGATCTTTGTTCCGTTTGACAAAGAACGTTTTATATATATATATATATATATATATACACAGGAAAACAGTAATATTCGCTTTTATGATTACTCAGATTAAATCACTTAGGTAATGAACAACGACTAGGAAGTAAAAAAAAAATTCTTACGATTGCAGTGGATCAGAAAATTTTTCATTTTTGTCTTTTTTTTAAGCATTATCGTAGAGTAATTAATAATTCATTCTGAAATATCCGAGTGTTGGACATTTTTTATTTTTAGTTACGTTTGATCAATAAATATTTGGTTAAAAAAACAATTACAAAGTCTCTAGCCCTGTGCCATTTAACCGTCAAGACTTACGCACTTTTATGCTCTCCTGTACACATCAGACTCTGAGAGGCGTTCGTTATGAAGCCATTGTTACCTCACGTCTTATTTAGTGTCTAATAGAGTTTTATGCATCGGATCCTTGAAATTTTTTGTTCATAAGATAACTCGTATTTGAGTTATATGAGATTTAAAAAGGGCACTTCTTTGAGTATAAACGTTAATCACCTTTAAATTTAGACAAAGCTTTGTTTTTCACTCACTTGATTATCTACAAAATAATTATTTTAGTCTCCCTATTTAAAAATACAAGAGATAGAAGCTGTAAAGCCAAAAAAGCAAAAAGCTGGTTTTGAGACATAGTTTGTTAATAAAAAAAACTTATGTTATGGTTTATAAAAAATCACTATACGAATACACTACTTTTATACGAAAGTATTGGAAGAGCCTGCAAGAGGTGAAAGAATAGAAACAAATCACAATAATGATTTAACTAGATTATGGATCTGTTTGTACAATAAGGTATTACGTACACAATATAAGAATCCTTATTTGTACAGAAAATTAATATAGAAGTGATGACAATAAGTTTTGTTTAATGAAGAAACATTTTTCTTATGAGTATTTATATAATGACAAATAATTTATTAGAATACGTAAAATATCTCGTATAGGGACAGAGATGTTTTTTTTTTGAGTTAAGGTATAGTACGATTTTTCAACGTTATGAATAGGAAAAAAATGGTGGGAATACGAAAAAAATAATTTGGACAAAATCGGTTTGTAACAACTTGTTGAAAAAAAAATCTTTAAGATGTGGAACACCACTTTTTTGATCCAAAAGGAATAAAGAAAACAAAAACCGTAAAAACAAATAGTATTGCTCTGTAGGGCTTCAAAAGACAAAAAATAAAATATTAACAATCGAAATAGTTTATTACCGTTTTTCATTAATAATTAATTTCAGCCAAAAATTGCTATTTTTTTATGAGTAGTTACTCGAGTTCCTTACATCGTAATTGAAATAGACCTAAGTCTTCGT